CACCGAGGTCTACGGGGAGTTCCTGAAGGATCCAGTTGGGTGGTGGAAAGAAACCCCCAGGGAGCTCCCTGAGCTAATGCAAATGAAAAAGAGGATGACTGGTTACACCAACTACTCATGGTGTGTGGGGGGTGTGTGTGTGTGTGCGTATGTGTGTGTGTGTGTGTGTGTGTGTGTGTGAGAGAGAGAGAGAGAGAGAGAAGATACAGGAATAAAAGCAGATGCGAAGAATGAACCCATGTGGATTCTGGGATAAGAGGCAGCCAGTGGGAAGGTCATTTCCAGAGGACATGCTCTTAAGAAGGAAAGCTGCCCCCTGGTGGTGGAGACCCAGGATATTATTTCCCTTCCTCTGAAACCAAGAGCTGTGTTGATGGCATTCAGACGGCTGGGCACCAAGCACTTAATGTAAACCTCTGATGACTAATGGAAATGCCCTTATTATAGCAAGAGTCTCTGATGACTTTTAGGAGAATATGAGATAATTAGATGAGGTAATAAAGGCTGAAAATTCTGCTTCTGTCTTCAGGAAGGAATGTGGTGAGAAAAGAAATGCCTCATTAAAGAGAAAGCCACTCAGGCTCATGAAGCATAGTAGGAAATAGACTGAGGAGGGGTGGATGGATTTCACCAGCCAGGACATGCTTTTCCCGATAGACGTGGCTTCAGGAACCAATGGAGTGTCAACCAATTTTTTGTCCTTGGAATGATGTGCAATCTTGGTAAAGGGGACATAAGAAAATGGGTCAAACATCACAAATTGAAGGGAAGAAATTAGCAGCCAGCATTTTTGCTTGAAATGAAAAGGCAATGTAGTATTTTAAAAAATAAATTTTACTATGGTTTTATTTTATTTTATTTTATTTTGATACTGGGGATTGAACTCAGGGGCACTCAACCCCTGAGTCAGATCCTCAGCCTTATTATATGTTTTATTTAGAGACAGAGTCTCACTGAGTTGCTTAGTGCCTCGCTGTTGCTGAGGCTGGCTTTGAACTCTCGATCCTTCTGTCTCAGCCTCCCAAGCCGCTGGGATTACAGGCATGTTCCACCGTGCCCAGCTTTTATTATACTTTTAAAATGCCATTTGGATGAAATGTGTTCTGAATCCTTCCAACATGATTGTCCTCTTTGAAATGCAAGCATGCCATTTGTCACCCAGTATTCAATGCAGCAAGTAAGTGAAACACAAAACTAGACAGTTTCTGGTCTTTTCTAGGATACCTGAACTTTGTAGGTCTCCCCCTCTTCCTCATCTTGTTAAATCATGTCCTACGATAATTATCATCTTACTGATTCTATATGAAAATTATTAAGCCCAGTTACCTGGGGCCTATTCTAAATAAAATTTTAAATTCACAAATGATTGCAATAATTGAAAGTTCTGGTTGTGCTCAGGGATGCCAAAGCCTTTGGTTAGCATGCTTTCCTCTGACTTTGCATCTGATCTGCTTTAATAGCTCTCTCTTGGAATACCTCCTCTGGATGCCATTGGAAGCTGGACACTCACCTAAACATCCATTTTCCAAGGTCTTAACGTTCCCTTGCTATCATGAACTTTTCTTTACTCTTCCAATTCCTTGTCTTGCTGTTCCATTTCACCTTGTTTTGTTATTGTGGACACTTGCTACTAGTTAGATGGTGCATGTTTTAGTGTGGGAGATAAAATTGTCTTCTGATTTCTGCAGTGAACCTTTTCCTAGGACAGTCTTCTGGTTGAGTCTTTCCAATAATATCCCCTTATCTTTATTTTGTGTTTATTCACGACCTCTGTGTTGATTTAAGTTCTATCTCTGTAGGCAAATAAGTTGGTTGGTTCATTCAGCAGATGTTTACTAAATAGCTACTACTTGCCAAGCACTATTCTAGGTGCTAAAGATACAGAAAAGAACCAAATAGACAAAATCTCTGCCACATGGAACTTAGTCTCTAGTAGAATAAATAAACAAGGAAGAAAAAATAAATAACTGCAATCACCATTTTTTGAGAGTAGTACAATCTTGTTAGAATTAGTTCAATTCTAACTGTATCTAGTCATTCACTTAATGAAATTGGTTAGATTAACCTTGGAAATAAAACTATATTAAATATTTGGGCAGGAGCAGTACAACCTCAGAATTCTTCCAGCAGAACACACTAAAACCTCAGTGAAGACATTGTCTCACCTTGTGGCACAAAATACTGCCATGTTTCAGCCCTCGCGGCCTCCACTGCCTCTGCACCAAGAGACCAACGGCATGATCTTTTGAAAGCCTAGAGTGGGGCTGCAGTTGACCAAGCTGTCCCAAAGAGAGGCCATCACTTACAAAATACACCTTAACTGCAAATGTGGTGCTTGGGACTTACCATTCCTTGAGGTAATCCTTCTTGTTCCTTATTAACCAGATACAGGAAATAAAGTAAAGTTAATAGGCAAATCAATGCTTGGGTACTTAATGAATGGGAAACTTCTTGACAATAAAGTGTCAGAGGCCAGACTGCATTTTAACTGTCAATAACAGGACAATGGGAGGACTGGGAACTTGGGCTCTGCAAGCTGCTTTGCCTCTGAACCAAAATAAACATGCACGTGCATGTTTATATAGTCTAACCTAACCCTAATCCTTAATGAAGCATAGACTATTGATATCCACTATCGAATGATACATCGTCTCATGCAGAGGAGTTCCTAGATGCTTGTCTATCAGCAAGTTGATAGTCATCTTTGTGTTGGGACAAGCTGAGCTTTAGTTCTTTTCAACTCTGCAATTATGTGAACCTAGGAACGTACAACCAGATATTAATGAAATTAGTCAATAAGCTTGATTTTCTAGTTTGTCTTCTTTGATATGCCATGCCTAATCTCCAAAACTATTTATAAAATTCTTTCTTGGGAATTGCTTTCTGAGTCTGTGACTTGGACACAGATCCAAGTCTGGAGGAAAAAGTGAGTGGTAAAACTTGTGACTATTAATTTATTTCTCCCCAAATTAGCTTATTTTCCAGCCTAGCTCATGAGGTTTCCCATTATACAGAAAATATCTAAACTGTAATTTCACAACTATTTTATTAGTGGCTACATTGGTAGGAAAATAATAACATCCACCTGTACCTTAAACCTTTTCTAAATAAGCTGTACTCTGGGCAGAAAGAATAAACATAAAGTATAAAATAGGCATTTCATTGTCTCCTCTACCAAGGTGACTTGTTGAAAAGTAACTTGTATGTTTGGGTATTTACATCTCATGCTTTTAACAAATAAGAACTCTTTGTCTCTTGTTGCTACACAGTGTTCATGCACAGGGATATGTGCCTGTCTTAGAACCCCTGAACCAGGGGTTGGTTTAGAAGTTTGTATCTCAAGGGCCATATGGAATTGCTTGTGTATTTTTTTTTAAAGGGAGATCTGAGATGTGTCCAAAAGAAATGTTCCATGGAGAAAGGATTTCAAATTTTAATGAATTTGTCATTTATTGTTTGATCCTCACACATATACATACATATTTTATTTTTTTCATATTCTTAGGCAGTTAATTATTATTATTATTGTTATTATTATTATTATTATTATTTATTAGCTACACATGACATTACAATGATCTTGGCAATTCATACATTTGAATCAATTGGGGTATAATTTCTCAATTTTCTGATTGTACAAATTGCAGAATCACACTGGTCATAGAGTCACCTATACATATTTTATATATTGTTCAATCATTAGTTCCTGATTACCATTTACAGTAAACTTGTGTTTTGTTCCGTGTGTGTGTGTGTGTGTGTGTGTGTGATGTGCATGCGCATGTGCTCACTTGCATGTTTGTTTTGGTTCAGAGGCAAAAGCAGCTTGCAGAGCCCAAGTTCCCCTGAAGTCTCATTTTCTGAGGTGAATTTACATGAAGGGCTGTGAATCGGGCATCTGTTGCTAGAGTCTGCCATCTTTGCTCTTGACTCCAGACTGGAAATTTCCAGATGCACACTGGGCCTGCCCATCTTTTAAATGATCTCATTGACCAGAGCACTGGGTCTGGGGTCATACTTGACATCAGTTTTTCAAAATCCACCATGTATGTAAGACTCAAAGTCAAATATGCTTGTTGTAGACTTGGTTAAATGGGGTAGAAGAGAGACGCGTCTCTGAGGTTTGGAGACCCAGGAGGAAGAAGACTTGCCTTTCTCTTTCCACTCTTCTTAAGAGAAACCAATTTTAAGAGCAACCAACCAATATCAAGCAGGGACTGGGTGTCTCAGCATCACCCTTCTAGAAACTTCTGTGAAGATCTGGCTGCCCTCCTTGTGAGATCTGCCTTACATGCGCCACCTCCATTCTGCACCCACAGGGCCTGCAGAGCACCCCTGCAGAGCCCTGTGGCCCGGAGGCTCCTGTCCTCCACTAGATGACCTCTCCTCTAAGGGAACTTGGTCAAGTGAAAGCCGCAACAGCATGGTTTGGTGTAAGCAGTTCGCTCTGCGCGTCAGGGGGTGACGTGCTTTGCCGTAGCTGGCTTCTGTCTTCACTCAGCAGGTCCGTGATGGGCGTCTGTGCCGTGTGCATCGACCCTTGCTGCTGTTGTGTTTTCCCCTGGTCACAGCTGGGTGGGCTGTGTTATTTGTTCCATGTGGTACTAAGAGGCTACGCAAGGTGAGTTCTGTTGACTGTGATGAACATTCTCCTGCATGTCACTTGGGACCTGTAGCCTTGTTCCTGTTGTGGACACCTGGGGGTGCATGTGTGGTCATGGACTCTCCATGCTGGACTGCGGTGGACCCTGCCCAACTGAAAGCTTTTGGAAAGCAGGAAGGTGACTTACAGAGCACCTCTCTATCGCCCACAGACGGCACTTGTTGCAAAGCAACTCCTTCCTCTTTCACCTCCATCCACTGAGTTATTGGACAAGCCCTGCTTCTGGGACTGCCAAGGGGCCTGTCTATTTTTAGGCAGGAAACAAAGACTACCCAGTACTTTCTGCCCACAGCCTTACTCAGTAGAGCAGATCAATATGCTCGATGCTGATGTGGGTTCTTGGAAACCTATAAAGGCCCCGCTTTCCTTGCTCTCCCTCCATTCCACCCATCATTCATCAGACTTGCTTTCCTGCACAGAGGGCAGGGAGGTCCGCGGGAACCATAAAACATGAGGGTTCCCTTTCTTTTTGCTGTCTTCTTCTGTTTGGTCCACACGAACTCAGGTAACTGACTCCTGGTGGCCCTGGGGAGGGCAGTGCAGGAATGCCATTTATGTGTGCGGCAGCATGTGGAGCATGGGCAGAGTGCCCCGTGGTGTCAGTGGGTGCAGGGGAACCACTCGGGGCTCAGGTCCAGGCCACCATGGCCTCCTTTGTGAAGAGGTTATTTTAAGGTAGATAAAGTTTAGAAGAATCATACACAAGAAGGGCAGGTGTGTTAAGTGCTCACTTCAGTCTGAGAAAAAATTCCGAAGGAAATCATGGTCACACTAGTGTCAGAGCAGGAAGGGAGCCCAGTGCTGTATGGCAGCCCTGCAGCCCACAAGGGGAAGCCAGGGTCAGGCAATGAACAATTACGGTCGTGGGAGGCCTTCACACTTACAATACCTGCCCCATACATAGCCTAGTTTCTTTTTCTCTTTTTGATACTGAGGATTGAACTCAGAGGTGCTTTATTTATGAGATACATGCCCAGCCCCTAATTTTATAATTTTGAGATGATCTCTAAGTTGCTGAGGCTGGTCTCAAACTTGAGCTTCTCCTGTCTCAGTCTCCAAAGTTGCTGGATCTATGAGTGTAAGCCACCACACTTGGATTCCCTAGATTCCTTAAAAGGAGACTGACACCTTAATGTTGGACTTTCTTTTTTTCTTTCTTTCTTTCTTTTTTTGGTGGTGGAACTGAAGATTGAACCCAGGAGAGCTTCACCCCTGGACTACATCCCCGGCTCTTTTTATTTTTTATTTTGAAACAGAGTCTTGCTAGGTTGCTGAGGCTGCCCTCAAACTTGCGATTCTCCTGCTTCTGTCTCCTGAGTCACAGGGACTATAGGCAGGCACAACCATGCCTGGCTTAACCTATTTCATAGATGAGAAAACTATGATGTGGCCATTTTAATGAGTTTTTGGAAGAAGTGAGTCTAGACTCCAGCTCCTCCAAGCCCGAGGCTGGTGGCGTCTCTGTCTCTGCTGAAGGGGAGATCCACACCTTCACCTGGCTCTCCCCTCCACACGGCGGCAAGGCTGACGTGGTCCTGGATCACAGTCCCACTGAGAGCTGAGGCACTGTGAAGCTTTTAGACCACCCAGACCATTTTCATGACCCTGTGAGACCAGCACTATCATGGCTCCTGTTGTTAAGAACCTTTCTTATGGGAACATTAGGTGACTGCTCTTGACCTGCAAGCCCTCTAGCCAAGGTTTCATTTCCTTCTTTTCACTGTGAGTATAAAACTGGACATTGGGCCACAAGCTGAGAATTAGAATTTTTTCCAGTCTCCTAGATACCAAGACCTGCCCCCCCCCCGCCCATTATTCCACTTTGTTTTCTAAAACGCGCTTCTCCTCCTGCAAAGCACATCTTCCTCAGGTTTTTGGAGGGCACTGATACGAGAGGTAGCCTCTCCCCAGGGCCTGCTGTGGGTCAGGTGGCCACACACACACACACACAGAGGCACACACATGCCGCGTGACCCTCCTACAAGCTTGTGAGATAGGGATGGCTGTTCTGCTTTGGGGCTCAGAGAGCAAAGCCTCGGTGAACCTGGGACTTGTCCAGAGACGCTGAGCTTTGCAAGCATTTGGAAAACCCCTGGAGTTGGGCTGTGGGCTGGGTCATTCTTGACTGTACTCCAAGGATTAAAGATCGACCTGTTTTTGTTGGTTCCATAGGGGACATCCCTCCTGGAATTAGAAACACTATCTGCCTCCTGCAACACGGGAAGTGCAGATTATTTTTTTGCTATGCTGGTGAGAAAAAGGGTGATATTTGCTCTGATCCCTGGAATAGGTGCTGTGTACCAAATCCCAGCGAAGAAGGGAAATGGAAGGTGGCAAATCTGGAATCTAAAACGCAAGCTCCTGTAAGGCCGAAAGCTCTGGACATCACAAAGAATTAAAAGAATTTGTGGCTAACAGTCGGTGCTCAATAAACACTGGTCGACTGAATCTAGCACCGCGGTGAAGGTCTGGTGGTGACAGCATTTTCTTGAGAGCTTCCTTACTTTGCCATTTTCTTTTTTTGTTCAAGTAGTTCCAGGATTTTGTGATATTTCATCTCTTTTCACTTTTCCCTCCTTTTCTTATACCAGAGAGAGAGAGAGAGAGAGAGAGAGAGAGAGCAGAGTAGAAAGCAAACTGCATTTCACATGGCACAGAAATGCAGCCCATCTAATGGCCTCGCTTCCCCCTAATGAACCCTGCACTAGCCTTCTTGCACTTAGTCACACAGACTGCAAGGGGCCTCCTCAGCCATAATAGCAATAGGTCTCACTTACATAGAATTGTATTGTTTTCAGACATTTACTCTTAGGTTATCTCAACTGAATGAAACAACAATCTTAGGGAGTGTGTAATAAGTATAAGCATTTCCACTTTAAGGATGGAAGAAAAAAGAAGATAATAATTTCAATCAAATTAAGTCAGCAATTCACAGACAGGATTCTTGAATCACCTCATCAACCAAGGGTTCATTCTTTGCTACTTCTAATGACATGTTCCTGAGCAGTTAAAGTAAGCAGGGTCCTGTCCATGAAGACTCCTTAACACTTAACCATTGTCCTTTACCCTCCTGTGGATCCTGCTCACAGTGTTATCCATACCAAGCTTCGAGCCCATCATCTCAAGGACAGTGAATATTAATTACAGGTAAGGTAAGGAACTTAAGAAATAATTAAGGCGACTGAGCCAGTATGGGATAGCCCTGTGCTAAGCTATCTCTGGAGCAACAGGGCTTGATATCTTGTTTTCATTTCAGTTCATGACCTGAATCCAGTTTGCTAATGAATCAGCTGAGTGCACTTAATATAACTTATATGTTCTTTTAGCTTCCTGTCTCCATCGTTTAGGTTCCTGTCACCTCCAGTTGCAATGAATATTTGACATAATGCCTTGGGGCTCTCCCCAGCTTCTTCTAAACACTCCTGCATTTTATTTTCTAAAAACAATCAGGCAGACCCCTTAGATTCAGAGTGGAGCCTCTCTCAGACACAGACGGCTCAGCAGGCTCCTCTCTCACCCCCTGGAGGGTGGAATACCTCCCCATACTTGGTCTGGATGCCTGCCTGGGAAGGTTGCTGGCCCCTAGGTCAGCCTTTGCTCTTGAGTGAAACACAGTCAATCTCTCTGCCTCCAGGAGGGCAGACACACTCCCAGCCAGGAGTGTGACCACTCAGAACCCAACAGATCTGAGATATGCCATGAAAAGATGGCCGGTGCCCAATACCTGGGCTGGAGCCTAGTTCCACATTCTCCACTGAGCATGAGCCCTGAGCCGCAGTCCCTGACCTGGGCCTTATGTTCCTCAAGAATTAAGTGAAACTCCGGGGCTAGAGCTCTGAAAGCCTGCCACAGCTCACCGCCTGTGGGTACACAGTCACTCTACCTCTGTGGCCCTGGTAGGTCACCATCAAGGGAAGTGACAAGAAGGACCCACCCCATCACCTTGCCCCCGTTGCACTGTTGGGTGAAAGCTGACAAGGAGCCATAGCAGAGGCCAGGATCAGACAGTGCAGATTCGCACAGGCCCTATGCTATAGGCACACTGTACTGTTTAATATTCTTAAGATGGAAACTGGGCCTATTTGTGGGGAAATGTTATCTTGATCGAATGTGAAATTTCTCTCCATCATCTGTGTGCCTCAGTCATATGTGGTAGACAAGAGGCACCTGTGGCGCTTGCCACAGAACAGGCTCCAGGAGTTCTGGCTGAGGTTCTCCAGAGGCAAACAAGGAGCCAAGGTAAGGAAGAATAGGGCGTATTTGGAAGAAGGCTTTGGAGCTGATCTCATGCTTTATTTTATCCTATGAATAATGCCTCTGGGTCAGGCTCATTCACAACCTGAATGAGCCCCAAGGACCAGATATAGGGTCTTGTTCTGTCCCTCTGGGGGTATTGGGAAAGTTAGCTTAACTCCATAACATCAGTTTCCCAGTATGCAAAGTTAAAAGATGTCCTGGAGTGGTTCCAAGAAGATATGAATCCCCAAGTTCATTTTCCAACCCAGAAACATCCTTGGCCAGAGAACAGCCCGTCAATACCAACGTTTGCCGCCAGAGGGCGCGCGGCCACCGCCAACGCCGACACAGGCTGTGGCCGCGCTGTGCGGAGCTGGCCCAATTGTGCGGAGCTGGCCCAATTGGCCGGAAAGCCCCGCGGGGAAGGCCGCAGAAAGCCAGAACCAACCCTCTCAGCCTCTCCCCTATTCCTTGGAGAAGAACAGTAGTGACTCGTTATCTCTGCCCTGCACAGAGTAGCAAAGCCCTGTAGTTTGTGGAAATGAGTTCAGTTCAGACGGAGACCAGCAGGATTTAAAGCATCTGTGCGCTACTCTTACTGGCACAGCAGGGCCCAGGCAGAGGAAGAAAGCAGATGCTCCCTCTCCCCTGTTTTCTGGGGTTGTGACCCCCATGTGCTGAGCATCCTCAGACACCAGGAGTCAGCTTGAGGGCAGCAGAAGCATTGCAGGATTTGTGGGTGCTCACCAGGCCTGGTCTGCCCTTGGTTGTGGGCGTGAACTGCCTCTGCGGTCTGTGCCAGAGATCCAGATAAGATCAGGAGTTGTGTAGGGAGAGAAAGCCGCAGCTGTTCACTCAGCCCACCTTCAGCCCCAGGTCCACCTTCAGCTTGGGGACTTTCCTGCCCTGCCCTGGCTCTAAGACACTTTGAGCAGTGGCCAGGCATCTAGGAAGAGCTGCAGGGAAAGTGGGGCTTTGCAAGCCTCCTCTTTAACACACTATTGCCACCTTTCTGATCTAAGGACTGGGCGACGCAGGGACATTCCCCTGAGACTGGCCACATGCTGGTCAAAGCCCAAAGCCCAAATCCCTGTCTTTTGTCTCACAACCTCCAGACTTTGCTGATCCCCCTCCTCCTCTGTCCCCTTCCCCTTCCCCACTTGGAGTTCCCTGTAAAATCCAGCCAGCAGATGGACAAAGCCCTGAGCAATCCCCCCCCCCGCCCCCATGCGACCTCACAGTGCAGCCTGCAGATTCTCAATGGAGCACATGATCCATGCATATCCAGGGATAATGGAGGCAGCAGAATTAAAGAACAAGGATCAAGAAGCTGAAAAGTGCCCACCTGTATCCCCAGCCTCTGATGGAGCACCTGCCTCTTACAGTGTCACCTGCCTCTTATCAGGTCCCCGATAGGCAGCACAGTGCTGTTCAAAGAGCCTGACCAGGGATCAGAACACCCAAGTCCCTCCTGAAGCCACAGTCCTCTTTGCCACTGGAGCCTCACAGGCCTCCTCTGTAACTTGAGCAGAACTGTTGAGTTTGTTGATTTCAAATGACAAAGCATGAGGGAGACTGTTGGTGAATGATGGGGGGAGCACCGGGTGGAAGATACGGATGACTCTGTTACCCAGTGTTGGAACCTTCTTAAATCAGATGAGACACAGCAAAAGTGATTTGGAATTATTTTTAAAGGTGGAAAAAGCATATCTCCCATTTGAATACCATGTGTAGAGTGATTCAGTGGTTAAAATACACACATGCATACACAGGTACACCTTTACAGGGGGAGATTCACTATACAAGGGTAATCTGAGTGGATTTTTAAACCACCCACATGTGAAACAGACCCCCATTCAAACTCAATGTCTTTAACCTTTGAGACTAAAGCTGAATTCTGCAGACCAGGGCAGCTGCATCTGTCTTCTTGGAATCTTTGATAGACCAGAAATGCAGAAATGTAATGGGCTTGTCCCATCACCCCCCTGAGAATGATATATGTCACCTGATCCCAACCCATGTTAATGCTGTGGACAGAGAAGCAGCTAATCCGGTGCAGACTCCTCCAAGCCACAAGCAGACAGAGTCAGGCAGCCTAGCCTCCCCTGAGCCCAGCCAGAGTCAGCCCAGCCAGAGTCAGCCCAGCCAGAGATGGCACCTGTCCTGTGGAGGCACTGCAGTGGCAAATGGACGAGATGTTTTTTACAGAGGGAAATACTCCTCTCAAGAGACCATAGTTCATACACTTCTAACAGCTCAAAGTATTAAAATTCCTCTTTTGGAATTGCCCTCAGAAACCTCTCCATATGGCACAAAAAGGTCTCTCTTGGAAAGTACAGCTTAACACCAACACTTATTCTCAGTCAAAGAAAGTGAGACCTCTGGAACTCAGGAAGAGCACTCACACCCTCAGCCACCTCCTTTGCTCCAGGGAGAAGAAAGAGTTTGCTGGAGGGCCATAAACGAATCTCTAAACTCCTGTTGGTCCTCAGGGAGGTTGGATGCCATCCAAGCACATGGTTGCATGTTGCCTCTTCATGGGATGCCAAGCATGTGTTAGATCACCTGCAGGTTACTCCCAGGTGACATCACTGGAGGCTGTCACATGTCTTACCTGCAGGGAAACATGCCTGTCTCAGCTAAGTCCAGAATTCACACTGAGTGGTCTGCTCCACAGATGGGGCAGCAAGAGCAGAGTGACCTCTCTGGTTACCCACAGGGAGGCTTCTGAAGGTACACAGAGAATCACTATAGCCTGGGCTGGGGCCATGCAAGACTCAGACTAGATACGCCCAGTATCCAGGGCAAATGAATTCTGGTACTAGCCTCCAAGGGACCAGGCACATTCTCCAGGAATACCCAGCACCACCCTGTTGGTCAGCTTTATGCTACTATCATAAAATACCTGAGATAAGTAACTTATAAAGAGAAAAAGTTCATTTTATCTCATGGTTTTGGAGATTTTAGGCCATGACCCAGTGGCCCTGTCACCTTTGGGCCTGTGGTGAGACAGCACAGGCAGGAGCATGTGGCAGAAAGAAGGGGCAGGGCAGAGTCCCAGAGTCCCCTTCAGGCATTTACCCCAGTGACTGAAGGCCGCCCAGTAGGCCTCACCTCCCAAGGGCTCCACCACCTCCCAGCAGTGCCACCCTGAGGACCAAGCCGGAAAGACACAGACCTCTGGGGAACATTCAGGACCCAAACCACAGCAGCTGCTGGGGCCTCCTGAACAGTCTCTCTGCTCCAGCTTCTGGGATAAGATTCATCTCAGTTCATATTGGACATGCCACCAGGCAGATGAGACCCCTGAGGTGGAGAGATGTGAAGTCACCCCCTGGAGCCACGCAGCTTGGGCAGAGCAGCTCTGTTCAGATCTGCCAGGGAGTCAGCAGAGACACTACTTTAAAGCTCAAGAAACTTGCTTGAGACCATACGACAAGTCACTGATGGGCCCAGATGGGTTACCAGTCTGCCCCGCTGTCCCTAAAACAGAGGCCTTGTGGTGTTCATGCACAATGTCACTTCCGGCTCTGTCTTTTTAATAAATGGAGATGGTAAAAGAGTCACCGTGGTCAGAGCATTGTTAGTCGAAGACCCTGAGTCAGGAATTGCTTTTCATGTCACACCCTGCATCTGCAGTGGGGTGCGGGTCATCACCCGGACTTGAGAGAGAAGGAAATAGGAACTTAACCAAGGTAAGAGCTGCTCAGGACTGCACGGCTCATATGGTGCAGTAGGAGCTCACGTGACCCTTCCTTCTCTCCTTGGTGAGCATGTGGGAAAGGACTCAGGTTCCTGCCGAGCCTTGGGTATTCCTAGATTTGCAAGGTGGGAAATGAGCTCTGGGCTTTATGCTGCTATGACCCTGGAGAGTCACCTCGAGGCATTTAAAAGTCACCCTAGGACTAATGGATAAGGGACCTGTCCTGTCTTAGAAGAGAAGATGCCCACAGGGGCCCGGCAGGACAGTTCTGGAAAGCGGGGGATGTGCTTCTGCAGTAGCTGGGCATCGGGAGCAGCTGCACTGGAGACTCCACATTCCCAGGCGCAGGCTTCTCTGCCATTCCCACCTCCACGAGCTTGGACCTCCTTCATATTTCCCCATTGAGAACTGAAGGGCCTGCAGGCCTTGCACCGCTACCCTCTCGGGCCTGGACCTTGGTGGGATCTGCACGTGCAGCCAGCAGCAGAGGGAGCAGGTTTCTCTCAAGCAAGGGAATCTCTCTTCACTTCAGGTGAGGCAGGCTGTTGGGTGCAGGAGAGGAGACGGAAGGCGGGTGCAGCAGCAAGGCCAGCAGCCCGGGGGCCCTCCGGGTGGGGCCTCCCAGAGTGGGCAGCTGGTTCCCCAGCGGGTCCAGCCTGGCAACGGGGCGTGGCAGAGAGGAAGACTGAGGACCCCAGGGAGCGAGCCCGGGGGTGTGGGGGGGCATCTGCAGACAGCAAAGCCAAGCTTTAGGAGCCCTAGGCGGGTGGGAACTGAGGTGGCCTTGAACCGAACCTCCTCCTCAGCAGCTAACCTGACCACCACACAAACAGCCTGAAACTAGCCACAGGATGCTCGTGGTGCTAGGGGCTGGCCCCAAGTTCCCCAAGGTGGCCTCCGAGGCCCCTCCTAGTACTCCCACCTGCTGCTGTTGCCGGGTAAGTCCAGCCCAGAGTGTCCTCAATGTCCAGGCTGCTTCATTTCCCACACCTGGCTTCTCCTGCTCCCCATGCCTGGACCCTCCCACCTTCCCTCCTTCACCCCTAGGTCTCAGCTTTGGCCGCGGCTCCTCTGAAAGGCCGCTTTCAAGGCCCTGGGTGGCCTTTCTCGGCAGCTGAACCTCTAGCCAGCATCTGTCACTGCCCAGCGACCATCTCCCCTGGTCGTTTACCCTCCCCAGACACCCAAGGCACCC